TGATGCGGGACTCGATCCTGGGACTCCAGGATCATGACCTGAGCCGAAGGCAGTTGCTTAACCAACTGAGCCACCCAGGCGCCCTAATATCAATTTTTGAGTGTGGATTTCCATCTAATTTTTAGAAGGGTACTGAAAAGCCTAATTAATTTCTCCCCCAGATCTCATTTAAGCTGTGCTAATGGGTCTTCTCCTATTATACAAAATTGATACAAGTAATGTGAAAGTTAAGAGCATTTCTCTTTAATCCTTGAATAAGAATTATGACAATGGGGAACAACAAGATATTTGTATTAACATAAATAGTACTGTAATAGTAATAAAACACAATGTATGAGAAAGTAGACAAGTCAGAACTTGGTTCATGATTCTCAGTACTCTACCCTATTAATATACCATATTTTATGCCCAGCTTTACAGTTAACAAATAGATAAAAGCAATATTTCAATCTATATACAGCAAACCTACTTTGCATGTAAATTTGCACACCACATCTTCTTTATCCATTCATCCATCAATAGACCTCTGGGCTCTTCCCATATTTAGGCAATTGTGGACATTCTGCTATAAACATTGGGGTGCATGTGCCACATAGAAACACTATTTATGTGTCCTTTGGATAAATACCTAGTAGTGCAATTGCTGGGTCACAAGGTAGTTCTATTTTTAACTTTTTGAGGAACCTCCATACTGTTTTCCAGAGTGGCTGCACCAACCTGCAGTCCCAACAACAGTGTAAAAGTGTTCCCCTTTCTCTGCATCCTCACCACATCTGTTGTTTCCTGAGTTCATTTTTGCCATTCTAACCGGTGTGAGGTGGTATCTCATTGTGGTTTTGGTTTGTATTTCCCTGATGCCAAGTGATGTTGAGCACTTTTTCATGTGTCTGTTAGCCATTTGCATGTCTTCCTTGGAGAAATATCTGTTCATGTCTTCTGCCCATTTCTTGACTGGATTTTGTTTTGTTTTGTTTTTTGGGTGTTGAGTTTGATAAGTTCTTTATAGATTTTGGATACTAGACCTTTATCTGATAAGACATTTGCAAATGTCTTCTCCCATTCCATAGGTTGCCTTTTAGTTTTGTTGATTGTTTCCTTTGCTGTGCAAAAGATTTTTATCCTGATGAAGTCCCAATTGTTCATTTTTGCTTCAGTTTCCCTTGTCTCTGGAGACGTGTCTAGCAAAAAGTTGCAACAGCCAAGGTCAAAGAGATTGCTGCCTGTATTCTCCTCTAGGATTTTGATTGTTTCCTGTCTCACATTTAGGTCTTTCATCCATTTTGTATTTATTTTTGTGTATGGTGTAAGAAAACGGTCCAGTTTCATTCATCTGCATGTGGCTGTCCAGTTTTCCCAACACCATTTGTTGAAGAGAGTGTCTTTTTACAATTGGATATTTTTTCCTGCTTTGTCAAAGATTAGCTGACCATACAGTTGTGGGTCCATATCTGGATTCTTTATTCTGTTCCATCGATCTATGTGCCTGCTTTTGTGCCGGAACCATCCTGTCTTGATGATTACAGCTTTGTAATACTGCTTGAAGTCCGGGATTGTGATGCCTCTTGCTTGGCTTTTCTTTTTCAACATTATTTTGGCTATTTGGGATTTTCTGCAGTTCCATACAAATTTTAGGATTGTTTATTCTAGCTCTGTGAAAAATGCTGTTGTTATTTTTATCAGGATTGCTTTGAATGTGTAGATTGCTTTGGGTAGCATAGGAATTTTAACAATATTTGTTTTTCCAATCCATGAGCCCGGAATGTATTTCCATTTCTGTGTGTCTTCTTCAGTTTCTTTCATAAGTGTTCTATAGTCTTCAGCATACAGATCTTCTACCTCTTTGGTTAGACTTGTTCCTAGGTATCTTAAGGTGTTTGATGCAATTGTAAATGGGATCAATTCATTGATTTCTGTTTCTGCTGCTTCATTATTGGTGTATAGAAATGCAACGGATTGCTGTACATTGATTTTATATCCTGTGACTTTATTGAATTCATGTATCAGTCCTAGCAATTTTTTGGTGGTCTTTGGGTTTTTTACATAGAGTATCATGTTGTCTGCAAAGAGTGAAAGTTTGACTTCTTCCTTGCTTATTTGGATGTCTTTTATTTCTTTTTTGTTGTCTGATTGCTGAGGCTAGGATTTCCAGTACTATGTTGAACAACAGTGATGAGAGTGAAATATGACTCAGCTATTAAAAATAATGAAATATTGCCATTTGCAATGATGTGAATGGAAGTAGAGTGTATTATGCTAAGCGAAATAAGTCAGTCAGAGAAAGACAAGTACCATATGACTTCACTCATATGTGGAATTTAAGAAACAAAACAGATGAACATAGAGGAAGGGAAGGAAAAAAATAAAATATGATTAAAAACAGAGGGAGAGGCTAACCAGGAGACTCTTAACTATAGGGAGCAAACTGAGGGTTGCTGGAGAGGAAGTGGATGGGGGATGGGGTAATTTGCTGAAGGGCATTAATGAGGACACTTGAAGTAATGAGCACTGGGTGTCATATGCCACTGATGAATCACTAAACTCTACCCTCCTACTAACAATACACTCTATGTTAAATGACTTTAATTTAAAAAAAATGTTGAAGATGCCATAAGGAAATGGAAATATTTATCTTGATAAATTTGTCTGCAATATTTGATTCTGTAAAGACTACACTTTCTCCTTATACTGTAGAAGTAGTCTGTGTTAGCATCAAAGATAATGTCCAATATATATTTAAGAAAATAGATATAACTTCTCGGGGTGCCTGGGTGGCTCAGTTGGTTAAGCAGCTCTTTTTTTTTTTTTTTAGACTTTCAATCAATATTTATTGAATAAATGAATAAACTGTTTTGTCAAAGATA